TTCAAAACATGGTTATTTGCAATGTGTAATAATATACATAATTGTATTTAAATATATGTGTTAAGTGATGAAAATTATTCTCTGAATTGACTGTAAATGTCTGTAATTAGCTGATAGACATAATGTCTTAAACATCAAATAGTATCAAACATTTTTTTTTTCAATTTATTTTTTAGTAAAGATAGATGAAGATCATTGATGATTATGAAACAGTTTTGTTGCACTCCTGACTGCAGTAAAATTAAAACTACATGAAACAAAAATTCATAAAGCGTTGGCAACATCAAGTGATAACGAAATTGTGCAATATTTATAGTCCAATACTTTATAATTAAAACGAATACAAAATTGCTAATCGGTTAACCGCAAGACGTTTCGACCGATTAACTGGTTAATCGTATCAAATACACATTTTTCTGACCTCTTTTTTCAAGTAAACTCTATTCATATACGCAAGAAAACTTTTTTAAAAAGCTTAGTAATATTTTGTATATGCTTGATCACTACACTTTATATACTATATTTCAATTTCGATAGAAAAAAAAATACGAAAACCATGAGATATCTATCTGAACTGAACTGAATTTATTAATCTCTTCACAATTTTACAACTGTATACAGAGATATAAATGTAAACAATGATGACAAATAAAAACAAATTTTAGCATGCGTGAGTATGAGGATAGACAAATAGTACAATTATAGATCTTTACTAATTCGGGGAGCACGTTTTAGTAATTTTTCTAATAAATGTAGACAGTTTTCTTAAAAAGGATTGTTTTTCTGAATTCATTATTTCTCTGAATGTAATTGTATTTTTAAACCGTAATTGTTTTTGCGATAAGCATTTATTTCTTTCGTGTATCACTGACGTATACAGTTTAATATGTAATGGAATTCATCGCCTATTTCATTTAAATAGTCTCGTTTCTCTTGGTTCATTTAGCCAGCGTCCACTTTCAATCGGTAAATAATGATTGCAAGTACGGAATTTGCAGAAATTAATGGCATCTTTTCGGGATAGAATATCCAAGTATTTTTCAAATTTTAGTTCGTCTTTGTATATTCTGTAATTTAGAGTCTTTGATAAGTTTTGAACATCCGAATTCCATTTTTGTTTAAATTGATCAAGTAAAGTAAGTTTTACTTTCGATCTCAACCAATTTGGATTAAAGGTCTGACTTTGCCAAATATTTGAAAGTCCACAGTTGTTTAAAATATTCAAGACATTATTTAGCCAAGCAATCTTCGTCTTTTGATTTACGATTTCACTTAATTTGAACAGTAGGCTTGATATTTTTGTTTCCTTTCCTAGTTTAAGTTTGCACCAATATGAAATAATACGCGTCTGTATTTCAATGGACATTGGATGTCGACCGAGTTCACCATACACCATACAGTCCGGAGTAGTTTGTTTAAGGTTAAGAAGTAGTTTACAAAATTTTAAATGTACTCTGTCTACAATTGCATTGTTCGAAAATCCCCATACTTCACATCCGTACAGCAATATAGGCTGAACAATTTTATCAAACAGATCTAACTGACACCGTATTGATAGATTATGTAAGCGACCTTTCTTAAGAATTTCAAATATTGCTTTATTTGCTTTATCAACCTGTTTCTGTTTTGCTTCTTTGAATGAACCCGATGCGCTAAATAAAATACCCAAATAATTAATTTCATTTATAACCTCAATAAGCTGTTCGCCGTATTTAAATTCAGGTTTTTCTTTTTTTTCCCCTTTACTTATTATCAAAACCTTTGTTTTGTTAATGTTTATCTTCAAATTCCATTTTCTGCAATATTTTTCAAAACAATTAATTTTTGCTTGTAAGTGTTCAGCAGATTCAGCCATCAATACAGTGTCATCGGCGTATAATAGTGCAAACAATTTCAAATATACATTCAAATGTTGTTCAAACATAACAGATATTGAAGGTAAACCAATTGTCATATTTTGCTGGAAAAAATTCTGTAAGTCATTTAAATAAATTGAAAATAAAAAAAGGTGACAAATTTTCTCCTTGCCTGACACCATTTTCACAGTGAAAAAAATCAGTAACCTTGTTATCATAGACTATTCTCGACTTCATTTGATTATACATATTCGTAATAACATTGTACATATTTCCATTAATGTTGTTTGCACATAGCTTATACCATAGAGCTTTTCGCCATACGTTATCAAATGCTTTTTCAAAGTCTATAAAAGCACAAAAAAGCTTTTTCTTTTTTAATTTCAATAACTCTGATAAAATATGTAATGAAAATTAATGATCGGTAGTTGAGTATTGTTTTCGGAAACCTGTTTGATTTTCGTGCAGTATTTCGTATTCATCTGAAAAATCATTTAATCTGTCATTAAATATGGATGTAAAAAGTTTTCCAATACAGCTTAAAATTGTTATAGGTCTATAATTCTGTGGATTGTTTTTCTCTCCCTTGTTTTTATATATAGGAAGGACATTTCCTTCAAGCCAACATTCAGGTATCTGATATTTAAGACTGATGATTTTTCAGACCAGATGTTACGCAAGATCATTTTGCATTATCACCATAAACAGAAAATGAGACCGAACTAACACTTAATTTGCAATGTTTGTTTTAAAATATAATTTGGCAGACAACTCCAGAAGATATACGGGTAAGATACAAATTGTAATCAGTTCACAGTACTCAAAAGTAATTTTAATCAATTTATATCATTAAAGAGATACGGGACATGTAGTTTAACGGTTTGGTGTTAACAGCATTCAACACTTCACAAACTGACCAATTACATGTACCCCCAACGACCTCAATTTGGAGAGCCTAAATTAATTAATTACCTCCAAGTCGGCTGAAATAAATGTGGGAAACTTATCAAAAATTCAGAGATTTTTTACGTTGAAATTGATTTCTAATGAAGTTTACACATAATTATATAATTTTTTCCGACTAACCGATTATAGATTTGCCAACCGATTACCATCGTTCCGACAGAGTAATCGGTTAACCGGTTACGAATTGCCATCCCTAATTAAAACACATGAAAGTATTTAAACTTGGCCTTACATCTTGAATTATTCCTTATCTATGTCAAAAAAACTAGCCAAAATATATATTTAGAAGATAAAATATATTTTATTGTATATTTTCCTTCACAGGACAAACACTATAAGCAATGAGGTCAACCAGAAACATTCTACTCATCAATTTTTTCTTTATATTTATTCATATTTGATCAGTACATGTATTGATTTTAACATATTTGTTGCACTCCTGACCAAGAGCATGGGGTCTTTAAATTAGAATTGTGAAGCGAAATTTATATCAGAACTTGTTCTGTTGTTTCAGTGAAGTTGAGGTGGAATTACTTGAACTTTATAACAATTTTTTCAGTGTGTTTATTTTTAACATTCTTAAAAAAAAATCAAAGAAAAGATAAAAACACATCCGAATTGATAAAATTGAAAAAGGAAGGATTTTAATAATAAAACTGTCAACAACTTAGTACTAAATTATTCAAAGAGATCATCATTTATAAAAGAATTTTTCTTAGCATGAGTAGAAGTATCTTCATCATGTAACTTGAATCTTTAAAAAATGTGTTGCACTCCTGACCATATAAATAGAGATCTGAAACAGACAGACCCTGTAATTAATAAATCTATTTGGAAAAAATTTTCTTTGTGTCTATTTTCCAAAATAAAAATCAGAGAATCATATACTGTATACACTGACAGGGTTATTTTCGCCCTTTTACACTTGCAAACAATTTCATCCTGTTTTAAATTCGCCCAGTCTTAGTTCTATTCAAGAAATTCTACTGTGTTATATGAATTCGCCCTATTTTAAATTCTCCCACCTTGCGTAAGACAAAAATAAAACGGGGGCGAAAAATTCCCGGTATACAGTACTGATAATAGTTTTTTTCATGCTGGGGGAACAAAAAACATCAAATGTTGCACTCTTGACATAATTGGGTATGCACAGATACTTGACTCTCATTAATGCTGCTCTGATTTATATAACATTTTTAAGTTTTAAATTGTATATCAGTTATTGTTTTACACTTTGAAAAATTCTTTTTTTGACTTAATTGTCTTTCATATTTTTAAAATCGATGTTTTTTTGGCAACACTACATTTTTCCTGTTGCACTACCGACATGGTATAACATTTTTTTCAACATCAGCCATGGCCACAACTTGGTCAAACAAAAGTTGCTACAGTCTACAATTAAAGCTCAATACTTTGAAAATTATCAGGAACGTGTTTATTTCTACCATAAACCATTATTATTTATTTCACAGATCTTCAAAAAATATTGAATTTTCAAAATGTCACAAAAAGGTGTTGCACTCCTGACATTTTTAGCATTATTTTGGGCTTAACTTTTTTGTGAATTGAGATATCAATGAGATATTTGGCAGCTATGTAGACACTATCTAAAGACAAATACAGAGACAGAAAAATGTATTCCCAATGCCTGTACATTTAGAGCAGGTTGAAAAATATGGGTTTGGTCATTTTTTTTTAATTCTCCCATGTACACGATTTAAATAGAATTCATATTGATGCTAGTATATAATTCATTTTAATCATCATTGAGCAACAATGAATTTGGTTTCAGTTTATATTCTAGCTGTTTGTTACTCAATTGTTTTTTAAAAAAGTTGGTTGTCCATCCCATTTTTTTTGTAGACCAGCGAGCTACAGATCTGCAGGTATTGCATACTTCAGATATACATGAAGTTTGCTTCATGGTTCCATGCAAAAGAACACATGGCTTTTCCAGGTTATTCCTCTTTCTTTCTTATACAGATCTACTTATACACACCTGATCTTATTCATTCATAACATAAATTTTCTTCACAGATATTACATGCATGCCTTTATTCTTTTTCGTTATTGTAAGAACAGCAACTCTTGTTTCTATGTACACTTTCCCTATTTCAGAACCACAGTGCATTTGCCCAACAATTTTTACATTCTTGGATAGAAAAATAATTCCAAAAATAGTTTTGAAAATTTATTATAAAAGAAAAATTGAAAAAAAAAATGTAAAAAATTTAAATATATGTATTTAGTTCTTTTTCGGCTTGGGTGTGTCGTATCTGCTCTTGCTTCTGTAGAAGAGTAAAAATGGAATGGTGAGAGATGGCAGGGTCATGATGGCAAAAACCAACCAATCCAGCTGAAAAAAAATCATTTGTTCAAAATTTTAAAATTTTTTTAAAGCATAACAGTATTGTAAACACAGACTTTTTAATATGTCTCATACATTAAAAAAACCCCAGAATTTCATTAATGGATTATCTGTTATATATTTGGACAATTTCTATTACGACACAGTATCTTTTTGTTTCCTCTTCTGTACCCTTGTAAGGGTGGCTTTTTCAAAAGTTTAGATAAAGAGGACAGTGATATACATGACTGTACAGTCTTTTACTTTTTGTACATTCTGATTGTTAAAAATACCTAGATACATATGTACATGTACTTTATTTCTTACCCAAACTTATAGTTATTTTTAAGAAATAATTTTCGTAATACATAGTTTTCATGTCATTCCCTATGTTTTATATTTCATATGTGTTTATAAACTTGTACTTTTTTTAACAAAACTGTTTGTTTAAGGGTATTATAAATTCTTGTTCGATGGAATTCAAAATTCCAGTTAAATGGCATAATTTCTAGTTTAATGAATTTAAAAACTTTAGTTAAAAGGCATTATAAGTTTTAGTTTAAAAGCATTATAAATTTTAGTTTAATATCATTATAAATTCTAGTTTAATGGAATTATAAATTCTAGTTTAATGACATAATAATTCAGGGGAAGTAACCACAGTCCAGTACTTACAACATGAGGAGAGAATTTCCTGTCAAAGTCTTTGCTGCCAACAATACCTCCCTCTCCTGGGGCACTTGTAAATCCAATCTAAAATCAAATCAATATAATTAGACATAAAATGTTCTAAACACTCTTCAAAACTGTGAGTAAACATAACTTCCATATTTTCATACTTGTTTTAATAATATTAAAAGAATGTGATGGTTTTAGGAACTTTACCACGGACAGTTGTCATCAGAATTGATGATGACCATCTTTGGTCAAAATCAGTATTCACTTGTGAGAATTTTCTGCAACTTTAACCTTAAGATGTTAGTTTCCAGTTTTATCTTTGTTTTTGTAAATATCATTTTTTAAAAATTCTTTTAATTGAAAAATATTTTTAATTCCACCTATTCAAAAACATTTTTCCAAAAGATATACATGAACATGTAATTCAAAGGAGCACAAAGTTAAGCTAGTGAATGATTATGCAAGAACCTATGAATAATGACATCACATGAGGGTGCAATTAACTTAAACAAAACTCTATTTTTAAAAATTGTAGAAGTATCATACTTATAAAAAAATCTTTTGAGGGATTTAAGGCAAACTAGTGGGTATTGTTTTTTTTCAAAAAAACACATGTCTCCCCTTCTTTACCAACATTAACGAGTGCAAATATATGATCAGGGTCAAAAATAATAATGCAGTGCATCTCAACTCAAATTCTGTGTACCAAATTTCAAGTCTTCATGTCAAACGGATCTCAAGTAATGGTCTGGTCATGTTTTTCTTAATTTGACCTTGAAGAAAGTGGTCAAGGTCAAATATTTTGATGCAGTGCATTTAGTCTCAATGTTGTCTTTCCTTGTTCCAAGTTTGAAATCCTAATGTCAAAAAGTTCTCAAGTTATGACCTAAACTATATTTTCATGTAAACGATTGACCTTGACTTTATTAATAGGTCAAGGTGAAAAAATGTTGCCATTCACCCTTCCTCTATACCACCTCTCCATGTTCCAAGTTTGAAGTCTTAATGTCAGGGTTCTCAAGTTATGGTCTGGTCATGTTTTCTCTATTTGACCTTGAAGAAAGGGGTCAAGGTCAAAATTTTGAAGTATTGCATCTTGTAACAATGTCTTCTTTCTATGTTACAAGTTTGAAGTCCTAATAGCAAAGGGTACTCAAGCTAAGGCCTGGACTCTATTTTGATGTAAAAGATTGACCTTGACATTATAATAATTGGATCAAGGTCAAAAATTTTGGTGGCATGCATCCTTCCTTCATACCACTTCTGCATGTTCCATGTCTGAAGTCTTTATAACAAAGGATTCTTAAGTAATGGTCTAATCAAGTTTTTTCCCTATTTGACCTTGAGGAAGAAAAGAGGTCAAGGTCAAAAATTTTGGTGTGTTGAATCTTGTATCAATGTCTTCTTTCTATGTTACAAGTTTGAAGTCCTAATATCAAAGGGTACTCAAGCTATGGCTTGGACTCTATTTTGATGTAAAAGATTGACCTTGACCTTATAATAATTGAATCAAGGTCAAAAATTTTGGTGGCATGCATCCCTCCTTTATACCACCTCTGCATGTTCCAAGTTTGAAGTCTTTATGTCAAAAGGTTCTCAAGTTATGGTCAGAACTTGTTTTTTCCCTATTTGACCTTGAAGGCAGAAAGGGGTCAAGGTCAAAATTCTAATGCAGTGCATTTTGTCTCAAGGTCTTCTTCCTATGTTACAAGTTTGAAGTCCTAATATCAAAGGGATCTCAAGTTATGGGCTAAACTCTATTTTGATGTAAAAGATTGACCTTGACCTTATAAATTGGTCAAGGTCAAAAATGTTGGTGGCGTGCACTCCTTCTCAATGTCATCTATCTATGTTCCAAGTTTGAAGTCTTAATGTCAAAGGGTATTAAAGTTACGGCCTGGACAAAATTTGGAAGAAGAAGAAGAAGAAGAAGAAAATCGACAAAAACAATATGTCTCCCCTGGAAGGGGAGACATAAAAATTATTTTTCTGGACAAACTGGCAGTTTTATCAATCTAGTGACAGAATATAGAATCTATATGCCATTGCACCACAATTCTATCATCAGTTTTTCTTTCATTATTCATATATACACAGTTGTTAAAGAGTACATACCACTTCTGTTGCAGCATTTTCGGTGGGTTTGTAAGAGACTTCAGCTGCAGTAAAGTTGAAATAGCCATACTGTAATGGACGGAGAACAACAGCATGGGACACATTAGTACCACTGAGGACATTAAGGAATAAAATGTGCATTAATTCTTCAAGACAAGTTCCTATCATTAAGAATAATGAAATTCTCCTTTGTACTCAAACAAAAAACAAAAACAAAAAAAAACCAACAAAAATAAAACACACACACATATATTAATCACACCTGAAATTCGTAATTTATACATCAAATAGACTTTTTTTTTAATTGAATAAACACAATATCAGAACATTAAAGATGATTTAAAGTCACACTCATTAAAAAAAAAGACATGTAAATAAATATTTTTTTTTCAAAGTTAAAATTTCATTTCATATATAAAAGCATACATTCATAAAACAAATGTTAGACAGACAGCAAACAAAGTGAAAATTTGGAATGCAATTAATGCCAGATTCCTTAGGCCAGATAAAATTAAATTTTAGATTCTCATCCCCACCTGCCCCTCTCAAAGTGCCCTGTCCCATTGTTTTTTATTGGGGGGGATCAAAAGTATTTAATATGTTTTTACTCTATACCATTAAACAATGAGAAAATTTTGTATAAGAAAGAAACATATTTTCAATAAAAAAAAAAAAATCTGCAAACCCATCCCTATTTTTAAGCAAATTAGGATGAGAATTTAAAGTTTGAATTTATTTTGTCTTTAGCATTCTTGGTGTATTAAACTTTTAAACAATAAAATTTGGGGGGTTATTGAAAGGATATCTCATATTCCTACATTTTCATAGTGTCTACAAGTTTTCATAGATCGATCTGTTTAGATGTACATGCAGTAATGTGCTGAAACATTTGCCCTTTACAAGAGCTTAACAATGAGCTTTGAGTGTCTTTCAGAAACTAGCATCTTTATAGCAGAAACACAGTTGAAATTGCACATTCAAGAATAACATGCTTTTTTCCAGTGTTATCATATTAGACTGCAGGATTAAAATAAGTTTAACTTTTGTATAATTCTAGGTATATTTTTACAAACTGTATTACCACAACACACTTATATTTGATTACAGTATGAATAATTATAATCATCTCTAGCTCAGATTCTATATCATTGTTAGAAAAGGATACGGTGCAATTCTTTCCCACTTCACTTTCAAGTTGCCTTTGACAACCTCAAAGTCTTGTTCAGGGAAACCTTCCTCTTTTAAATTAACATTAAGAGCAGCACTGAAAACATAATTAAAACAATATAATAAGTCAAAGGTTATCCACTGTACTTACAATTTATATATCAAAATCTAAATGTCTGCATTACATGTATCCATAGGCTACAATAAGCACTGACAAAGTCTGTTTAAGGCAATATGCTTACAATTTGAAGGAAGTTGAGAAAAATTTTGCCCATGGCCTAATGTATGACAATTTTTAGGAATTAAATGCTTTAAAATTGTACCAACATTTCTTGCGCAAGTTCATTTTCTTGACATACAAGAGTTGTAACTTATATTCATTAAAAAATAAGAACTTACCTCCCCCCAATATTAAAGATAGTATATTCTACAGTTAAATCTCTGCCTTCTACTAGATACTGGTTTAAAACAATTTTAGAGGCCAAAAGTCTTGCAACATTGTCTTCTTCTGATAAACTGTTACCAGCAAAACTGATCAGCACTGCTAAAATCCAGAACTTCATCTGTCAAACAAAAATATTACCATATATCATTTTCCAACCACTAGCCCAAACAGTTCATTGCTAATTCAAATTAAAATGTTTTATACTGATGCATAAATATTTTATTTTTATTACAATTTATAATTCATATTATATTTATATAATACATCAATACATCAATGTATTCTGATGCAGAGGGAGTTGATATGGTACATCATTATCAATACATAAAATGAAGTAGCAATTTTTTTCTCCGGATGTATGTTTTGGTCTAAATATAAGAGTAGTTGTTGTGTTAAAAAAATGGCATAATTTGTTATGAATCTAAAAAAAAAGAAGTCAAATTTCTTTATCAGGCAAATGAAAAAAAAAAGTTGAAGTCTTTATTTTGCTATAGTCTTGCTTTTAATAAAGTGCAAAGGACTATAAGAATCAAAAATTTGAACAAAAAAAGTTGAAATCTGCATTTTTCTTTCTTAAAATCAATAAACAATAATCAAGAAACCAGTAAATGAACAAACTTGATCTGTATCATGGTATATAGTGATATTTTCCTAAAATATTGTGATATTTTTTCCCCTCAAAAGTCAAAATAGTTTATACACAGCCCTACCATTAACGTTTATATTTACTAAATAACGTAGTGATCCTAGCAATTATTCTTTATTGGTTGTGTATTTCAATCTAAAGATAAATTAATAATAGTTTTATCCTATATGGTTATATGATTTTTAAAGTTTAAAACTATATATTGATTATTAAAAGCACACTAGGCATATCAATTCGATCAATGATTGGAAGTTGGCAAAATCTTGAAGACATGGCTGACTGGTCAATGGCCACTTGTTGATATTTCTTATATCTAGAGTCCTTTGTTAATGTTTAAGAAACTTCATTATGAATATACACAGGGGTGTGCAATTACCATCACCCGATGCCCGGGACTACCAATTTTAGAGGTTGGGCTATCATAAATTTATACTGTGTTAGCCCGTCGGGAGAGTAAATCTAAAACGAAAGTATACGTATACTTACGTCGACTGATGTATGAATAAACTTTGTTGTAAAACCATAATCTTTAATTCGTTTTAACCTATATGTATTGTGAGTTGCTATCGCCAGTCATTTCAGTGACAATTATAGTCGATAAAAATAGGGAGAAGTACCTGACAATAACAACGTGCAAACCATTATTTGTTTTATTTATTTCAACTAAAATGTTTTTTTTTTAACCTTTTTGTTATACTTATACACGTATTGTTTTCGGTAGTTAATGGGCTAGTGACTGGCAACCTAGGGCTAGTAACTTTGTTACTGCCAATAGCCCGACGGGCTAGTAACTAATTTTTGTAATTGCACACCCCTGATATAACATTCTAATTACTTTGTTGACCTGAACAAAAAGGTTCTACCTCATTATCCTCGATAATTTTAAAGATGTATTGATTTAAGGGAGCCGACTGGGGTTTTATTGTGTGAAAACTACTATAGAGAAACTCTTTTAATTTTATACCATATGTACCTTACACTGACTTCAGTATATATGCCAAGTTTAGTGAACATCTACCGTCTGGTTATTTTCTAGGGACCATCTCAAAATACAGGTACATTTACTATAGGATTATATAGGAAAATACCATTTTTTTTGCACTTCGGAGCAAATTACACAAATGCTACTATAGACTTTTTGCTCAAATTATATTATTTGATGGGTAATACTATATTGTACATTTTGTGCAAGAAACACAAAATTCTACCGTCTGGTTTCCAGAGGGGGCATCTCAAAATGTCAAATATCATGATATTTACCTGTTTTCATGGAGTACAACAAAACATGACAGATACCACAGATTTACATAAAAAATGATAAAAATGATTGTGAGATTCTCAATTTCCTATGTTTAAAATTTCAAGAGAATCTATTTTATACTTTTTGTTTTATGATGTAATTAATGACCCCGCTTAAAGAACTTTGGTTATTCATAACTTCAAAAACAAGCTATTACGACATCTATCTACCCATCATTTGAAAAATCGTTTAAAAAATCAGTTATTTAAAAACATAATAAGATTTTTTAACCTTAGATTTCCTAAATTTTTTAATTTTTATGAATTAAGCAAAAATAGTTGCTTTAAAAGAGTAAATACGCTTTATTTTACTATGCTGCGTGAAGTATTGTGCAATGAAAAACCCAGTCGGCCCCCTTAAATGATGCAAGATTTGGAAAAAAGTAAACTATATAGCATGTGAGAAACTGAGAGATTTCAATCAGTTGCACATCTGTTATTTATGTCTCTGCTATTCCTTATAAGTTTTCTTAAACCTTCACGTCTAAATTTCTTTTCTTTTTTTGAAAGGCAAGTGTCTCTGCTATTCCTTATAAGTTTTCATAAACCTTCACGTCTACATTTCTTTTCTTTTTTTGAAAGGCAAGTGTCCTACTTAACATGAATCACATAATTAATGAAAAATAATTAACAGCTAGAACATAGAACATATATAAGGTCATAAGTATGTCCACCACAAATAAGTACACATATATAAATTTGTACAAGTAACCTTGCAGTCTTGCAGATAAACTAGAAACAAATATTGCAGAACATATGCACATTGACCTTTTTCTGCAATAAGAATTTACAATTCTTAGGAATAACATTTTGATAATTCTAATCTTTAGTATAGCAGATGCACAGATGTTACAAATACGATGAAATTTAATTAAAACACGAGTAAATTTGGCTTACTATCCTTTAATTTATTTTTTAAAAGGAAAATTTTACACATTGTGATTTTTCTTTAAATGAAATAAACAACGCCACGTATGCTGTCAGTTAGCTAGCATGATTAGTCTATATCATTTACAATATTCAGAACAAAGACTGGTGTAATTGATATATCAATTCAAATGTAGTCCTTAATGCTTATATTTCAGATTTTTAACGGATATGTAGGTTAACAATTCAATAAACTAAAACATCATCTCACCATACAATACCTTTCTTTCTCAGTTTCTGTCTACAAGCCGGTGTCCGAAGGGGGAAGTAATCAACGTGGCGGTGTAGTAATTTAGTAACTTCGATCCCGACGAAAAGTCCGTTTGACAAAGCGTGTAAAAACTAAAAACACTGGGGCTTGCTCCCGGCGTGTATTGATTATTAATAAAAAAAAAATCATATACGTAATACTAAAAACAACACGTGTTGTTTTAGTATTACGTATATGATTATTTAATAAATAATTATTACACGCCGAGAGCAAGCCCCTTGTGTGTAAAAATAAGAGAAATACTTGAACTTAAAATCAAAATCGAAAATCGGCTATGGAAATTTGCTAGAGGATTAAAAACATACACAATCAAAGGCGGATACAGGGCCGGCGCGCCAGGCGCACGCCCCCCCCCCCCCGACCTCGTTTGATTTTTTTTTTTATGTAGAACTTATGCCCATTATCCTAAAATCAAGGAAAAAACCTCTCTTATTTGTAAGTATTCGTCAGCGGACCACCACCAGGGCTTTGCCCTAGACCCACTGGGTGCTTCAATGCAGCCCCCAGCCCCCCTGCTGCCTTCTACCCCCCCCCCCCGTTATGAAATTTCTAGATCCGCCACTGACAATAGATCTGTTTCTGTTGTTATTAGTATAGTAATTATGGACTATACATTATATGGCATATGATAATTAAATTGTACATGAAAATAATAAGTAAACCAAAATCTAATTTTCAAACTTTATTACAAACAACAACAATTAAATAAAGTTTTACTTAACGAGGTTGGATCCTGATATTTAAAGTCTTAAACTTTTTTTGTCAAGTATATTTTTAAGTCTTAAACTTTTGCTGAATTTAAGCAGATTGATCAAAATTATCTTATATATTCAGAAAAGAAGAACAAAAGTGGGGGTCTATGATGTAATTTTTTCTTATTACTAAAAAAGTGTTAATTTTATGTTAAAATTGGCTCAATTTTTTCCTGGACTTTTACTATATTTGTTGCAATATAATGAAAGAATTCATAAGAAATAATTTGATAGATATTTCAGAGCCAGCATAAAACATTTCACTGCAAAAAAAAAAACAGCTCTGTGTGCAACCAGCATGGAAAAATAGGAATCTAACTTAACAGTACTGTAAAAGGGAAAAATTGATCATTTTCTTCTAAAAAACCTTCCGCCACAAAATAAAGTTCCTGGCTTAATCCTATTTGAATGGAATTTCATCGCGGTTTTTTCATTTGGACATAGTTTTATTTGCATTGTAGAATCCAGATTTAATGTTAGAACTTAAAAATGATGCGGAATTTTAGAAATAAAGGTCCAGACCAATATCTGCTCAAAAGCTCAGGATCGAACCTCCTTAAATATATTTCATTAGCATCAGCAATGTGTGAATGTAACTAAGGGTGAAATACCTGCAAAAGTAAGGGAAGAATGTAACCTAATATTATATACATGTATCTTCAAATTTTTTTATATTAGAAAGAAAGGAGGGGGTCAGGACCCCTGGAGTTTTCAGAGTTTTCAAATTTGTAAAAGTAAGGAAAAGTTTACCTCGGACCCCCCTCTACAATGAAAATACAGAACCTCCTATAAAACCCTAACCCCCGGTAAAACGGTAATAAGGAAGATCATTCATTATATATATATATATATATATATATATATATATATATATATATATATATATATATATATATATATATATATATTATATATATATATATATATATATGAAGAAAAGTGACTTGCCTCCCACCACCACCACCCCCACACAGGAAATATTTTGTTTTGGGGGTGGGAGGTGGACAACTTAATTATTAATTATTATTATTATAATATTTTTAAAAAAATTCGCTTGTCAAAACATCATTCGATTTTTTTAGTTAGTGGTTATGGACCCCCGCCCCAAAATTTCTGGATCCGCGCATGTCACTATTGGAAACTTCAATAAAAGTAATACAAATTTACCTAATATGCAAAACTTTTTCAGTAAAAAAAATCATTTTTCTCAAGAAATACAAATCATATTATTATTTCCTAATACCTGTATTGATTGTGTTATTATAGTGTTAAGCACAACTCTTTAAATATTCAATAAACCACTACTGTGTATAGATTATCTCAAAAGATATCTTAATTGTGTAACCCTGACTTTCTTCAAAATAGAAAACGTTAAAAATAGCAAAATAGGTACTTTTGTTGAATGATTATACCACGAATGACATAATACAAATGTCCAAGCGCAAGTGAATTCCAAACAAATTCTGCAAAAAGCTAAGTCGTATGGTTTAAACCAAATAAATAACAAAAAACAAACATGCATCAAAACCTATATAAAAGAGAGAAACAAATTGGTGGTGGTGGTGGTGGGGGGGGGGGGGGGGAGGTGGGTTCCAGCAATAAAAGCTTTCTATGAACTATTAAATTAAGAAACAAATGGCTGGACAAGGCTCTCTTTTCTGTAGCAATAATCTGAAACATAATAATATAATTAACAAAACACCTTACGCTTTTCTTAACCTACAAATTCATCAAATGTTCAATTTTTATCCACTAGGTTACAATCAATATACATAAGTTAAAATGCCAATTTTAGGTATACACATTATCGATCACAAACAAATATCAATAGAAGACTCGGGAGAAAAAAAACATAAAGCTTTAAAAGTCATTTGTCAGTGATGCACAATAAATGAATAATTATGAACATAATTATTTAAGAGGGCAGGGTGGCCATTTTTAGACTATTTAAATCTCCTGGAAAAGAAAAGCTCAGGTATAAGAAAAGGCATCAATATTATAGCTCGAACATTCGTTTTTTTTTCCTTATACTAAATAATGGTTTATGGCTAGAAAAAATAATATTTCATATAACTAGGTGGATCTGTTGAGTAATCTGTTGACCCAGCCTCCTTAAAAAAACAAACAAAAGCAAATTAATTGTTAACTAAATATATCACTTTCAAATTAACACATTTGTGTATAAACAGATATACAGTGACGGGAAGTTTTTAAAATATGTTCTTAACATATATGTGTATATATAACAGATATCCAGTGACAGGAAGTTTTTAAAATAAGTTCTTAAAACTTTAAAACTTTGATAAAAGACATTTGGACTTGCATGGCCTAAATCTATATACATGTATGAAAAAATGAGTTCTAATATATTATCCCATCCTGGTCCGTTATGATTCTTGCATTCTATTCCTGAAAAGATTTCAAACATGTAAGAAGTTTCCCCAAAAAATTTTCATGTAACAATTTGGAATATTGTCGTAGTTTAACGTTTATTCGACACTAGGACATGAAGAAATTTAAAATCTGACATTAAAATATGAACAGTAACTTCTACAACCTACATCAATTTCTATGAGAATGAATCGTCTGTTTTTTTAATAAACACACACTGGGCAAACGATCTTAATTGATTATAGATACTTTAATCCTTTCTAGATTTCTTTCAAATTTTGTTTAAATTGTTCTAGTTCTGTGGGGAAATTTCAACTAAACATTACTAAACAAACGGGTGCTGGAAAAGTTTGTAAGTAGCTATAGATCATTTGAGCCTCAGACCTGTCAGTCAAGGATAAACCTGATGTTTAGCTCGAATTTGGAAAATACATTATTTTACTCGAATCTGTGACCTAGATATAAAGCGAGATTCCAAATTCTTCTCGCGTAAGCCATGAGCTCGTCGTCACTTGAATCAAGATCCAGAAGCTTGGGTATCATTGTAACCTCTGTTCGACAGACAGTATCGGAAAATATTCCAAACACTCTGTTGTATCCGGAATATTCTTTCACGGTTGCTACTTTTATTTTCATATCGTTCCATATCCACTCTTCATTAGAAAACTCGGGGTAGGAGTACGAATTTACTTGCTTTTCACGAAGAAATGTTACCCTGTCTTTAAAATCCCGTGAGACACAAAGGTTATCGCCCTTCTTTTCCATCAAACGACAATTTTCATCAAGAAGTTCTTTCACATCACTCATCTGCCGTACAGATTCTATGTCAAGGATTCGCCTGGATTGCAACTTACATCGGACGTCTAAAGGGATCTTATTAGCATCTGTTTTTAACCGAATAATGTCACCAGCAAACCACTTTAAATCTGACAGACGAAACTCCTTAAAGCGCAAATCCTGATCAAGGACGCATAACCCTGTATGTGGCTTTCCAAAGTCTGCCTTACCAGTCTGGAGACTAACATGATATTTCTTTTCCTTTCCATTCTTTTTGAATCCAATTTCTTCGAGAAAACCATTGACTTTCTCCAGGTTACAATCAGATGGAATGAAAGAACTTCTGATTTTTCGCCGTACAGTTAAATTGTCTCTAAGGTTTGTGTAACTTGACCCTCTTCCACGTCCTCTTCCCCGCCCCCTTCCCCTACCACGACCGCGTCCCCTTTGATTTGAAAAGTGAAATTCTTTTCTTTCGATGAAATGTTTGCGGTGGAGAATTTCTTGCAAGTCTTTAATAGCCATTTGATCTACGTCTACATCTACCAGATATACTTTCCCAAAAGTCAATGCAAACCGAAGAACGCCATGATAGGTAACGTCATAGTTCTCTCTGACCACATTTATTTGCTCTAGAAAAATACGCTGAAATTCTTCACAACCTGGAGAATTATTATCCAAATGTTCTAAGGATGGTTCAGTATTTCTAAAAGCATTTTGCAGACATGGCAGAAGCGCAGGACCTCGATTTTTGTGATGTTCTTGTATTGGACCTCTAAACCACTGGAAAATTAGGATATCATTTGTCGATCTACAGCCTTCATAGAAAGTCACATATGCCCCTTCTATAAATGCTTTATCTCTTGCAAGTGTAGACACAAACTTAGAAGATTTCTCACTAAGGTTTTGTAACGAATTGTTTAGTTTCCAGAGTTGTTCTGAGCTACCCCAAGCTTCCATAATGATTCCTTTTGTTTCTTTAAAATTTGTTCTTCGAATTCTAATGACTGCCCCTGTTGCTTTAGAGAGCCGTCTTTCGATATAAGCCTCAGCAAACAAAAGAGAATCCCATGTATCGAGCGGAAGATTTACCACAAGATGATCATCAATGCGTTGAACATCCCCAAAAAACGAATTAATGTTATTTTTTTCTGCTATTTCTTGATATCCACAAAGCATTTCATTTAGTAGCGTTGTTGTGGTACTCTGATTTAAGGGGCATCTCAAGAGGTTTTTGTTTCCGCGATTTTTATGGGATGGATCTAATATAAAATTAATGACACCTTTCTTCACCTGGCTTGCAAGCAAAGCTCTATAATCTTTGAAAAAATGCATAACAATACTTGCAAAAGCTCTGGTTTTACTTGCAGATATATCGCCAATATCTGGGATGTACATTGTATCTGTAAATATATTGTTCTCAATACTATCAGGATCAAGCATCTTCATGTCTCTTGGAAGATCCCTCATGTTTAGAAAACTACTTATAATAACCATTGCAAATGTCATTTCATCGAAGCAATGTCCTGAACTAGCTTGGGACACAAGAGAGGTTTTTCTTCCCCAATCTAAAAGGAAAGAAATTACGGGAGTAATCTCTCTGTTTTGTTCAACAAACGTTTTGAAAAAAAATGATCTCCGTAGAGCATTAACGTCTGTTGAAAACTTGATGTAATATTCATTTCCCCCAAGAAGAACCCGGTATCTGGAATTCATGCCAGGTTCCGCGATATAAATGCGCTCTCTGTGGAGCAAATTTTGAATCCAATCAAAAACGTCTTTTCTGTTTCGTCTTGTACTTACATGGATATCTAGAGTTTTTTCATCGGTTGCCATCATACCTATTAAGGACGATCCGACAGGATAAAAAGATGTTCCTCTTACAGGAACAAGAATTTTTAACACAATCTTTTCAACATGTTTTAAGTTGTTCAAAGTTGTCTGTCTATGTTCCTTAGTATGGTAAAATCGATCAACAATAGACGACCCTATTTCAATCAAGTTATCAATACCCATGGAAAATTCTCCAGGCTTTCCTTCAGATATCGAATTTGCTGTATTTTGGTTTTTCTCACCTTTTACGGCAGCCAGTATGTCTGCAATGACCCAGGGAAAGCTCAGTAAAGGTTCAGGGTTCTCGGGACTTTGACTGTAAGTAACATAATACCAGGCGGAGGCTTTTGATAAAATTTCTTTCCTTATATTTTCCAAGTCCACGTTCGTTTCACCTCCAAATTCCTGGAAAAATTGTTCTCTTGCTTTCCCTCTAACAACCGACATTTTAGCCTTCACTATCTGCCCAATTTCATATTTCTCATTGCTTAGACACCCTCTTTGGGGATTGAGTCTCTTTATGACACCAGAAATAGCTTCTGTCTCATTTTCTATACCATACAAAGTTAATAATTGTCTGAGTTTATCATTGTACTGGTTTCTAGCAGTAACTGCATCATCTTCATATTTTTCCCACCCACTCAAGATCAATTCCTTATCAAGTCCTACATCCTTTATAATTTTCTGGTGGTCTTTTCTCCTCGTCTGTGCTTGTTCAAGTGCGCGACATTGACGAAACAACTTTCCAAGAACTTTTTTGGACATGTATTGTGGTTTATCAACTTTCTGCATGAAATCAGGATATTTATCAACCCTCAGATCTCTGATCATTTTAGCAGGTTTCCCCGTCTTTGGGAAGTCAACAGCATCAGAATGCATTTTGGCAAGCTGTCTGCAGGATTCAGTGAAGATGTTTTCTCTGTCTGCATGAACGACGTGTGCATTTGCAATAATGCCAAGGTTATCATTCTTAATATACTCACCAACAAAATCTATCATATCATCAACCCTAACATCTCGAGATAATCTCTCTTTTTCAGTTTTATGAAATTCCATTGGTTCCTTGTTTTCAATAGCATTGCAAAATCGGTCGTCCCAACTCACGAAATACATATCACCGTCTAGATCAGATCCTGACATTTCATCAGGATGTGGACGATTACCTTTCTGTGGAAATACAATACAGTCAAACATATGGTATAAAGCAGGAACATCAACAGCTTCATATTTCCGAAGATCCCCTGGATGAAAACACGGATTTTTCGTAACCACTGTTTTTCCTGTGTGAACAACTGAATCAATCTGCTGTTGTCCGGGAACTTTTGAATACTGAACAAACACTTGTCCATATTCTAACGTCCCGGTTTCATCCAGTGTTCCCATCATAATGCGACCCTTCTCATAGGGTAGCTGAATTCTGGCCCTTCGAAGCAAATCCCGAATTTTGCTTTTATAAATTGTTATCAACACGGAACGAAAAAATGGCTCTCTGATGAATACAATTCCTCTGTTCTGAAGGTTTTTAAACTTGATGTCAATAGATAACTGAAAAGAAGAAACAATATGCAAATAAATTTGTTTTCTCGGAATTTTAACAAAAATGTCTCAAACGTAATATTTCCTGAATGCTTACCCCTGACAGGGATTTCAGTGCTTCTTTGTCATAAATCATCATATCTGCTAAACTAAAAAGCATCTCTTCTTGAAGTGATAAGAAAACGCTATCTGGGACACCCAATCCAGACAGAAGAGTAATTACTTGTCTATTTAAATGAAGTCTCCCTGAGGAAAAAAAAATAATGTTAGAAAACAGTATAAAACATCACTTTTTATAGTACTCGTATGCAGAATTTTATGCACACATACCTGGATTTGTAACCTGTAAAATTTCAAGGTTTTTTGACGTTGATTGGAACTTGTTCATGCTTTCCCGAATGACGAGTACACTGCATTGTTTACTTAGAGTTGGGTCCTGTGAAACAACGCCTTTACACCCGCCGTATCGAATTTGGAATGCAGAGGGAGTTACTTTCAGCTCAAGGGTTGCCGACACCTACAGGTAATGAAAGTACAAGTGAATGAAATACTTTGAAAGAATTCAGCTTTCCTTAACGTATTCTTTTACATGATTTTTGAAATCGAAATTTTATGTCTAAAATAGTGTCTTCTTATAAATCTTAGTATTTGCCTGTTGGCTTCAGGAAGCAAGTAGAAAAATAGCAAAAAATGCTAAAAATACTAATAATCAATAGCAGACCTGACGTATCAACTAGACTTCAAGCTGAAAAAAATATCTAAAACTTAAATACTTCTTGCTTTTTAGTTTGACAAAATCTCACCTGCTCAGCAAGAAAAGGCGACAGTTTTCCTATTCCATCAGAAAAGCAGAACTCATTTCTTTTTATGTCTTTTTCATGTAGAACTTCCCCATGATTCACGCCAACAACCACCGTATCACGAGAAGCAGAAAAACAGAGTCCAAAGCGTGATACATATGATGCCACACATCGTTCTGTTGATATATCCCCACTTTGATCCCGAATTTTCTGTGCAGTGATACCTTTGTTTGGACAAAAGAACCAGAATCCATGTTCCCGAAGTTGACTGTTTGAACATCCTAAAAACTCATAGTGACGATCGAGGATTCGAAATCCCGTTCGTAAAAACTGTTTCATAGCGTCTGTAACTGAATCAAGAGCGGCTGGTTGAATAGCACTTACTCTTTCATAATCCTCATCACGGAAAACAATTCTTATAAAATACTCCTCATCATATTGCCGAATAATTCGATTTTGAAAAATTGGTTCTTTTGGATAAAATACGTGCTTTGTTGGCGTCAAGACTAATCGTCGGATCATTGAATACCCCGGAGGAAGATCTTCAGTCTCTTCGATCATCTGTCTGTTGATTTTCACTTGAGTAGAAATCATGTGAGCAAAGTGAATAAAAGGAAGGTCATTTGCTGTCATGGCAAAACGATACAAAGTCTCAGTTGTCAAAAACCCCATGTAACTCCTAAGAAGAGATATATTTTCTTCGTTTAAATGATCAGTTACTTTAAATCCTTGAGATAAAAGGCATATCCATGCGTATTCCATGTCAAAGTCGTTAAAGGAAAACTGCGAATCCCGTGGAATATGAGAGAGAACTGTGATATCTGCATAGACTACACTAAATCCAAGCCGTTTCAGTCTTGAAATTACCCGCCAGCCAACAGGGCACTCCGATTCACTCTTTGTGTTGTCTAGTGCATTTTCAGACCACTCAATGCAAAAGCTGCTTGATTTGCCAAACTCTTCACGAGTCGCTCCCTGAAATCTTACAATTTTTTTCTCTTCTGTTCTGTCCTCATCTATCCTTTTTCTAATGTAGAGTTTTGGATTTGATTTAACATTGACAAATAAGGCTGTAGACTGATCTTTAATGTTCACTATGATTGTATCATGCAAATAACTGTATGGAATTTCCACAACTTCGCTGCATTGATCATGAGATAAGGCGCTTTCTATCGACATCATTTGCTTGTCATTTTCAAACACCACTGTATTGCTGGCAGTCATTTCCCAGTGCTTTGAAAAATGTACTGGCGACAACATTGAGCCGCCATAGAATGTTACACCTTCAATTGTCATGAATGATGAAAAGTTAGAGTCATAAGCTCGCATGTTGCTTTTTCTAATCTCAAGCCAACAGTAAATTTCATTTGCTGGTCTCTTAGACAACCACAGATTGTTTAAAAACGATTCAAACTGTCTTACACTCTTTCCTTCGCTTGTATGAATAGTCATATTGTATGTTTTGGCAAACTCCCCATAGGAACCTTCATCCCCTTCAACTGCAAAAAATTCACATTACATTTATTTAAATAATTGTAAACCTTAATTGATTGATTTGAAAAGAAAAAAAAAAAACAATCGAACTTGGAAGGACAACGTTTAATTTTGCCACAGAATTAGTGTCCATCAGTGTATAGATATATAAAAAATGACCAATCTTTCCTTTAATTTATTTTTTATTTAAAATAAAAAAAAAACAAAAATGTCTATACATGTTTTAAAACTAAAAAACATACCTAAAAAAGAACAAAGGTACTGTGGAAGAAAAACATGTCATCATTAGGCGAAGAGAAGATAAAAATATGTAAAGAGCTTTCTCATTTTATAAATTTTAAAGCAATAATACCGTATTAAGAAAATTAATGTTTTCGGTCGTACGACACATTGGCACATCTTTCAATTACACATTGTGTTCAACAATGTGTCAAAATTTGAATAAAAAACGATTTGAGCAATCATTAAAAGCTGTACCTGTCCCTTTGTCGTGCAAAATTTTTGTGTTTGTGGGAATGTTTGTCCTGATTAGTTCGGCAGCTGAATCAGCATTCTTTAGGTAGTAAAAATGAACAGTGTATTCGTCTATAACCTTCGAATTTCCTCTTCGTTGTTTTTCCTCGTTTTGTGTTGTATCTTTTCTTTGGTCGGTCATTTGTTTCCTATTATAAATGGTAAAATCGCTGACTGATTCATTTTCTGTATCTTGAGAAGTTTGAGCGATGCTTTGGCTATGTATATCATTTCCCTCGACGTCTGTAATTGTCTCCATTTCGGACAGAAAACAAACTTCTCGTTCCTGATCATGAAGTATATGCACTTCCCGATGGGTCTATGTAGGAGTTTTTACGAAATCCTTCTCCTTGGAAACGAGAATGAAACCGAAAGTACACAATCTAGGTTGTATTTATCATTAAAAGTTTATCATTTACAATTATTCCAAGGATTCCTTAACGAATAAATGAAAAACATTTGTGTATTTATGAAATATACCTAAATCGATCGATAATTAATGTTCAGCCATAACTCGGTAATTTTTTCAACTGGGCCGAGAACATACTTTCACGGGCGACAATTCATTTTTATTTACAATGTATATAAAAATAATCTCGCTAAAAGCCGTTTATCTTGAACGTATTTTAATTTTATTATTACCAAAAAATTATACATCTGAAGACATTTGTTTGTAAAAGTTTTCAAGAAATCAAGTCTCCTTTTTTCAAAGCTTTCTTGCATGATACTATTTTATTGCATAAGCATATAAATTACCGGACATGTAATATTAAAAAAAGTTTTTTATTTTCTATTGTATGATATACAGGGAGGAATTGAAGCTGATCAGTACTGGCATGACCTTTCTAATGATCTTACTACTTACATGTTTACAAACGGGGTGTAACCAATCAAATAATTCTGCAGCAAGTTCAGGTTTTGATTCTTAGCTTGGTGGACGTATATTGGTGATCATGACAAGCGGACAATGTTACCATTTTAACTTTATAGTTTTGGGTAGCTGCATATTAGTAGCTCGCAGGTCTGAAAAATTGGGATGGACAACCAATTTGAAAGAGCTACAGTGTTGTCACCCATTGAAAAGAAGTGTTTTTATTGCGCACAAAAAGTGCGATATTTCTAGATTTATTTCTCAGTATTTTTAATCTGCAATCTTAAAATATTACTTAAAATATTATACGTACATAAAGCATTCACAGCTTAGTTGCAATTTGTCGTCGAAAATTGACAAAAACGCTTTACAAAATTATAATATTCTTAATCAGAAAGTGGCAGCCGCTGTCGGCCATCGTACAAACCTCCTTATACATAGGTAACTTACTACAGGAAAAGCATTGTCAAGTAAGTTTGCTGAAAAACATACGAGGGGCTCTAAAAGAAAACATATGAGGGACTTTGAAAGAAATGAGGGAAAACAAGGCGCCAAATACAGCCCCCCTTCACCTCACCCTCTCCCGCTTTCGCTAAAATCGTGAGGATATCAAGTCTGCCTGTAGCACTTTATTTTCTGGATGATATTTCAAGAGGTCCGCCTGCATGGTAGCTCCATTTTCACACTTTATTTTCCATTTAATATGCTTAATATTACGATTAATAATCAAAGACAATGTATAGGTTGCCACATACTTTTTTAGATATCAGGCAAAGTAGAAATATATGTCAACATAAAAAATGCACTTTAAATTTTTGGATAATCCAAGTCTTATTAACAAGTATGAAAATAGATTTACATGACAAACTTCTGATACTAACAAGTTCTAACAATTACTCGTTAAATATATATAAAATGCGAATATTTAGGAAATAATTATATACCATAGTTAATGAATGAAGAAATATAACCACTCTGCACATTAAAAAAAAGTGATTAATTATATAAAAAAAAATACATACATTTTTAAAAAAAAATATTACCAAACCATATTTTTTATTTAATTTATTGAACCTATTAAAAATATTCCAACAAAAGGCATATTTTTATCGGGCGCAAATACTAAAGAATTGATAAAAGACTATTACGTCATTTGAAAGTGGAGATGTTTTAAACTTTTGCATTGAAATTTTATGAAATAACTCCCCATTACTAAAAATAGAGACCCTTTGATTTTGAGGTAAAAGTCAAAGATCAAGATCTAAAATACAGTTATTGATATTACTTATTTCCTAAACATATCACTAGAGAGTCCTTAAGCTTTCACAATGAAATTAAATAAAGATTTTGAAACAAAAGGTGAAAGGACAAGTTCGAAAGTTCAAATAATGAATGAAATCGTTTACAGATTTACTTATTCACTGTCTTTCAGCAAAACATGACTCTATTATTTTGAAGTGAAAGGGTCAAAGGTCAAGGTCACAGTCTTGAATATTGTTCTAAATTATTTCTGAATGAAATCTCAAATAAACTTAGACTGTCCTAAAGTAGGGGATTAAATTCCTTGAATTAGTTTGTCTGCATAAAAAAGTCACAGTAATATTTTGATAAAACATATTACATGTAAATTTGCAATGGATTTTTTTTTTCGGCTTCTAAATATATCTACGCTAGTGCACATCTAATGGGGATACAAATTTTCAATGTTTATATCCTTCAAAATTTTTGAAAGAATTTCAAGACTTATATGTTGCAAGCGCGTTTCAGACTGATAGATTATAAAAATGTGTTTAGATACTAGTACGTCTTTTATCTAAAACTTATCATAAACACAAATTTCAGACGTGTTTAATTGTGATACATCGTCGCACTTTCAAAAACTAAAATTTATTTTTAATATTGAAGAAAATGGGGAAATTTGCGGTCTATTGATAAAAGACATAAAACTATAATTGAGAAGAGTCAGAATAGGACTGTAAAAAAGCAAAACCAGCAAACCAGTGTTGTCTGCTCATGTTCAGTGATTTGCGTAGTGTTAGCAAATCAAACACACCTGGTAGAACCTAAACCTAAACAATAACAGGCTTGTGCCCATGCATGTTTATAAACATCCTTGTTGTAAGGTTATAAAAAGATTTTTCAAGCAAGTTAAATTTAATAAACTGTTCTTTTTTAAATAAACAGAGGTTAAAAATCAATGTATCTATGCCACTTTAACGCAAGAAAAACCAAATATCATTTAGGGCACAATTATTTTCTTTTTTGAACTCGTAACATTTTTCCTATTTAATATGCCTTTGAATTGAGGTAAATAAATGGCACTAATTAAAAATTTCAAAAAAATGAACAAAAATATTAACATTTGAAAATAGTTCAGAATGTAAAATCAAGTGCAAAAAAGCACAGTAGACATTGGAATTACCCATTAATCAGTTATTTTTAAGCAAATCTTTTACCAAGATATAAAGCAAGATTCCAAGTTCTTTTTGCATAGGTCTTTAAGTCATCATCACTGGAAGTAATGTCGGGCAACTTAGGAACCATCGTTACCTCTGTTCGACAAACTTTGTCAGAAAACGTTCCTATGATGCTGTTATATCCGGAATATTCTTTAACTGTTGCCACATATATTTTCATATTGTGCCAGACACTCTCTTCGTCCAAAGAATCAACATAAGAGTATGAGTTTACTTGCTGTTCACGAACAAATGTTACCCTGTCTTTGAAATCAGGCGAAACACGAAGATTGTCATCTTCTTTTTCCATCAATCGACAATTTTCATCAAGAAGTCCTTTAATGTCATCCATTTGTCGTATTGATTCTATGTCAAGTATTCGTCTTGACTGTAGCTTACATCGAACATCTAAAATCATAGTACTGTCAACATCATCACTAGACTTTAATCTGATAATATCACCAGCGAACCACTTTAGATCTGCGAGACGAAACTGCATGAAACGCATATCTCGATCTAAAACACATAGGCCGGTATGCGGCTTACCGAAATCCGCTTCGCCTGTGTGTAGACTGACATGATATTTGTTTTCTTTCCCATCCATTTTGAATCCAATTTCTTCAAGAAACTCGTTAACCTTCTGTGGATTACAATCAGATGGGATAAATGAACTGCTAATTTTTCGTCTTAATGAAAAATTGTACCCAAGATTAGTATGATTCGATCTTCGTTGCCCCTTCCCTCCAGGCCCCATCTGGTCTGAAAAATGAAATATTTTCCTGTCGATGAAATTTTCTTGGTGCAGTGTATCTTGTAAGTTCTTTATTGACAACTGAGTTGCAAGAACGTTAACCACGTAAATTTTACCAAAAGTTATTGCAAAACGCAAAGCACCATGATAGGTAGAGTCGTAGTTTTCTTTGACGACATATACTTGCTTCAAAAAGGTGTGTTGAAATTCTTGACAGTCTAAATTATTATTGTCAACATGCTCTAATGATGGGCTAACCTTTCGAACAACATCCCTTAGGCATGGAAGATGCGTGGGCCCGCGATTTTTGTGGTGTTCTTGAATTGGTCCACTGTATGGCTGAAAATGCAAACTATCAGTCGTCGATCTACAACCTTCAAAAAAAATTACGTAAGCTCCTTCAATGAATGCTTTATCTCTTCCAAATGAAGTAACAAACTTTGAAGATTTTTCGCCAAGCTCCTGTAATGACTTGTTGACAGTCCACAGTTGCTCTGAGCTTCCCCAAGCTTCCAAAATAATTCCTTTTGTTTCTCTGAAATTTGTTCTTCGGATTCTTACTACTGCACCTGTTGTCTCAGAAAGTCGCCTTTCAATATATGCTTCAGCAAACAAAAGTGAATCCCATGTATCGAGCGGAAGATTTAGCACAAGGTGGTCATCATTAAGTTCAACATCTTTGAAAAAGGAATCGATACTATTCCTCTGTGCAATTTCTTGATAACCGCAGATCATTTCATTTAGTAATGCTGTTGTGCTACTTTGACTTAAACGGTGTTTCAGGAGGTTTTTCTTTCCATTTTTATGGGATGGATCTAAAATAAAATGAATTTTCCCCTCCTTAAGCTGGTCAGCAATTACAGCCCTATAGTCTTTGAAAAACTGTAAAACAATATTTGCCAAACTTTTGGTTTTGCTAGCAGAAATGTCACCCATATCCACAATGTATATAGTGTCTGTTCGGATAACATTTTTTTCAACACTTTTAGGGTATGACACTTGCATATCCTTTGGAAGATCCTTCATTTGCGAAAAACTTCCAGCGACTATCATTGCAAATGTAATTTCATCGAAATTGTGTGTAGAAATAACTGAGGTTCTCCTCCCCCAGTCTAAAAGGAAAGAAATGACAGAAACAATCTCCTTGTTTTGTTCAACTACATTTTTGAGAAATATCGATTTTCGTAAAACGTTTACATCAGTTAAAAACCTAATGAAATATTCTATGCCATCAAGATTGATTCTGTATTTTGGGCGCCAACCACGATCAGCAATTGAAAAGCCAGCTGTGTGCATCGTGTTTCGTATCCATTCAAGAGTAATATTTTTGTTTTGCCTCGTATTAACATAAAAATCAAGTGTTTTTTCCTCCAAACCCATCAGTCCTACTAAAGATGTTCCCACAGGGATACACGACATCCCCTTAAAAGGAACAAAAATGTCTTCTACAATTTTTCCAACACGTTTCAAATTGTCCAGCGTTATTTGCCTTTGATTCTTTGTATAGAAAAATCGACGGACAATGGAGGATCCTATATCAAATAAGTTGTCCTTAACGTTGTCGTCTTCTGTCATGTCTTCCTTTATGGATTCTTGTCTTTTCTGATAAGTATCGTCTTTTGCCAATGCTATCACATCTGCAATTACCCAAGGAAAGCTTAACAAAGGTTCAGGATTTTCTGAACTCTCACGGTATGTTACATAATACCATGCTGAAGCTTTCAGTAAAATTTCTTTTCCTATGTCTTCAAAATCAACATTTGCTTCGCCTCCAAAATCCTGAAAAAATTGTTCCCTTGTTTTCCTGATCACAACGGACATTTTCGCTTTTACAATCTGACCTATCTCATATTTTTCATTGTTCAGACATCCCTTTTGAGGATTGAGCCTCCTTATGATACCAGAAATAGCTTCGGTTTCATTTTCTATACCATATAAAGTTAATAGTTGTCTCAGCTTCATGTTGTAGTTGTTTCTCGTCACAACTGCATCTTCCTCATATTTCTGCCATCCATCTAAAATCAAATCGCCATCAGCCCTCACAGATTTTATGATTTTTTGACGATGTTGCCTTCTTGTTTGTGCTTGTTCGAGTGCTCGACATTGACGAAACAGCTTTCCTAGAATCTTATTTGACATATACTGTGGTTTATCTGCCTTTTGCATAAAATCTGGATATTGTTCTACTTTCAATTCCCGCGTCAACTTTGCTTGTATTCCTGTTTTGGGGAAATCAACGGCCTCAGAATGCATTTGAGCAAGCTGCTTGCAGGCTTCAGTGAAAATGTTTTTTTTATCTGCATGAACGACATGTGCATTGGCAATAATGCCAAGATTGTCATTTTTAATATAATCGCCCACAAAATCTATCATATCATCAACCATGACATCATGAGATAGCTTGATTTTTTTAGCTTTCTCAAAGTCCATTGGTTCTTGATTTGAAATGAAATCGCAAAATCGATCGTCCCAACTCACGAAATACATATCCCCGTCAAGATCAGATCCAGACATTTCATCAGGATGTGGTCGGTGACCTTTCTGTGGGAATACAATGCAATCAAACATATGTTGTAAGGCTGGGACATCAATGGCTTCATATTTTCGAAGATCCCCGGGATGAAAACATGGGTTTTTGGTTACTATTACTGTTCCTGTGTGGACAACAGCCTCTTTTTGTTGCTTTCCAGGAACATTTGAATACTGGATAAACACTTGCCCATATTCTAATGTTCCAGTGTCATCAAGTGTACCCATCATTATACGTCCTTTTTCAAGAGGTAGCTGTATTCGTGCACGCCTCATCAAATCACGAATTTTACTCTTATATATAGTTATTAACATAGATCGAAAGAATGGTTCTTTGATAAACACAATTCCTCTTTTTTGAAGATTCTTGAACTTGATTTCAATTGATAACTGTAAAGGGAAAGAAAATTTAGAAGACACGATGAATAGGACGTGCTATGCGAAAATTGTCAAACATAGCCTTAATACATACCCCCGAGAGAGCTTTTAGTGCTTCTTTGTCATAGATCATCATATCTGCCAAACTAAAAAGCATTTCTTCTTGCAATGACAAGAAAACTTTATCTGGGACACCTAGTCCGGACAGAAGAGTAATTACTTGTCTGTTGAGATGTAGTCTGCCTACAAAACATATATGTATTTAGTAAATGTATCTTTGTCATTTCTTCCGTCCTGTACATACATGTATGTAAGTCGTTTTAAATACCTGGATTTGTCACTTCCAAAATCTCGAGTGTTTTTGACTCTGAAGTGAACTTGTTCATGCTCTCTCGGATGACAAGAACACTATTTTCTTTACTTAGAGATGGATCCTGTGAAACAACTCCTTTACATCCCCCAAATCGAATTTGAAATGCAGATGGAGTAACTTTTAATTTAAGCGCATCTGTAACCTAAAATAAATTAAGTACAAATATTTCGATGTAAAAAAATATTTTGCACACAATTTTATTTCGACAATCTTAGTTAAAATTATTGCGATTTAAAATTTGCAAAAGTTTAAAACTTAAAATCTCTGACAGGGCAAAACAAAACATAAGATGCAGTTTGAGGACTTCGTAAGCCCTGGTCATATAACTAGAAGCACATTGACGCCATGACACCATTGTTCACAGAAATGTTTCATATGGAGTGAAAAAAAGGTCGTTCAACAAGTTTCAGTGATTCGCCAAAATGATCACTTGTACAATCGGTCTTATATTTTAAAAACTAAATCAGGAAATCTTTATTAACCAGCATACATGTTTTATTCATTTATATGTTTAATATTTGGATGTTTTACTAAAAAAAGGTAAAGATGATAAATAGAAATCGATCTAAAAAAATCTACAAACAATACAAATTTGTAAACAGGGCATAAAACACGAACCCTGGAAATTTCAGAGGTGGGATGAGGTGCCTAGGAGTATGCACACCCTGTTGACCAGTCACACATAGCATAGGTATTGATCAGGTAGATGGAAAATTCCATTGTAAAATTTAGTATAAAAACATCCAGTACTAGTTTATATTTGCTAACAAGGTCATTATCATAGAATTTATGACATTATGACTTTAAACGAGTTTGTTGAAAACCCTGTAACATCAACTTATCTGTCAGTGCATGGCAAGTTTCAGTTTAAAAATTGATCGTACTCAGAGCATGATTTCTAGTATCGAATAAACACCATATGCAGTTGACGGCGTACATGTAATATTACGCAGCACAGTTAAGGCGACAATAAGGAGGCGGGGCCTAATTTATACGGGAAATGCTTACTATGACATCACACAAAAATATAAGTTCTTCAAATCACCACAATATGAAATGATTTGCTATTTTAAACTGTTGGATAGCTTTAAACCACATCAATACTTACTATTGCATGTATTTTTGTCGTTGGTTAAATCCCACAAAGCAATATATATACAATTCACTGATCGCAATGCACTTGTCAATGTGACGTCATATCGTAAAATTTGTCGCAGTTTGTATGCAGTGAGAGGCGGATCAAGTTATATTTTATACAATGAAAAATGTATTTTGTAATTAAATGAAATATTATTTGCAGATATATAAAACGCTATTAACTTGGATGCGATGTCTATTTTATGATTTTATTCATATACTTTCCGTACATTCCCTAGACAAGCGATACTGCCGTATATTTGTATGCAGATTCATTGAAGGGTAATAGAAGGGTCGTAATAAATCGATATATTGCAAGGGCATACCCTCAATGAATTATGACAAGCTTTTACACATAAACTGAAGAAGTATGAAGATATTTGAAAAGTGCTGCAAACCTGATGAAATCTTGCAAATGAATTAATTATGTCTATATTTAATGTATTTGACCAGCAAAATATTCAACATACGGTCTAACAAATGTAATTTTAGCAATTAGATAGTAGAATCTATATAGGTTCGCAGCACTTTTCACAAATTACAAAGAGTGTTGAAAATGATTAAAAATTAAACTTAGATTTTCAACTTAGTTATGCCCTTGCATTATTGGAATTAATAGATGACCTCAATACTGCAGATATATTTGCTAAAATCACGTGACAAGTCTAAATAAGAAATCTAATCGTCCTCAACATGTAGTTTTCAACCACATTACATTTGTCCGATAATAGTAAAGTCCTAAAAAGAATCGCTCATCCTTGTAAAGAATGTATTTTTTATCTAACAAAATCGCCGATATTTTCATTTGGCACCTTAACTGTACTGCGTACTACACAAATAAGGAAAATTGACGATGGAAATGCTAAAGTTATCTAGTTTGTCATACAGTTTAGTTGTTAGTTGGCCCTTATCGTCTACAGTCAGTAAAATATCCAAACATGAAACAGATGTGATTGACCTGAATATAGACGATAATGGCCAACTAATAACTAAACTGTATGGTAAACAGAATGACTTAAGCTTTTCCATCGCAGCTCTGTTAAGGCTGCATAAAGGGGGCGGGCCTAATTTATACCGGAAAAGTTTACTGTGACATCACACAAATATAGCAATTCCTTACAATAACAGAAAATGAAATAATTTGCGAATCTAAACTGCATAAGAGTAATGAACTACATCAAAACTTACCACTGCATTCATTTTTGTCGCTAGTTAAATCCCACACAGCATGATATAAACAAGTCACTGATCGCAATGCACTTGTCGACATGACGTCATCATGGTAAAGTTTGACGCATTTTATGTGCAGTGAGAGGCGGATCAAGTAATTTTTTCACAGTGAAAAATGCATTTTATTATTAAACAGAGTATTATTTGCAAATCTTAGGTAGACCATTAATACAAATCTGAAACGTTTGTTTAGTGCCATTATTTAAAAAATATCGAGAGAATGTATTGAATTAATTCTACCGTGTTTTTGTCTACAGGGTGTGCATGGTTCACGCCGAGGTGCCTCATTAAATCGCCTTTTCGCAAGGGCATACACTTAATAGATCTTGACCATTTTTTAAATACACATAACAGACGTATTCCTTAACTTGAAAAGTGCTGCTGCTTTCCTGAAATCGATAGCATAATTTAATAACTACGTAAAATACTTGGTAAAGGTCACACATATTTCGACATTAGCCTGATAACTTGAAATTTAAACTAATAAAATGCGAATTCTATTTAAAGCAGCAGCATTTTCCATAAACTACAAGTTCTGTAGAAACAATCTATTACTTTAATTTTTAATTTTAACTAGGGTATGCCCTTGCGATATTGAAATTTGTTTGTGACCTACATACAGTACACATTAAATGCATTTATCACGTGACTATCAAATAACGTGACTAAACCAAACTCAGTACAGAGCGGGGTATACAATGTTATTTCAAAGAATGTTAAAGTCATAAGATAATATAGTACCCTTACAAAAATAAATTCAGTTTTAAAAGGTTTGTATTTATGCACGTTTATATTCTGTTGATTTCTTTGAAGTACGCCTTAACAGTGCTGCGATCGTCAACTTCCCTTATACATGTATACGTATTTATACTCCCACATTATATGCATATGGTGTTTATGTCTCCCAATAAATTCGATACGCAAGAAGATGTTCGGAGTATGATCAATTTTTAAACCAAGGCAAGCTACTGACAAACACGTTGATGTTACATGGATTTCAACAACCCCACTTAAAGTCAGCTTTATACTGACACGCACGTAGAAGTAAGTGAAAGTTTTATTGAAAAGGATATTTCTAATGAACCTGAATCGCATTTGTCAAGATATGACACATCTCAAAATATGTTAAATAAAGACCATATAACTTTAAAGAAAATGATATAATTTAAATACATCGATTATATCTTAATAAACAATAATTCATACTTGTTAATTTACGTGGACATGCCACCTAATCAGCAATAGTTAAATTTCTACTGTCGTGGAGAGAGAAAAGTTTTACGTCCTGAATGCATATTATACAAGGCTTATCGGCCGCTTAAAGATTTTTACGAGCTGTAATCTACACAGATCTTCGTGGTCTTACTTGTTCTGCAAGAAAAGGTGATAGCTTGCCAATACCATCAGAAAAGCAGTGCCCATTCCTTTCGATGTCATCTTCGTACAGCACTTCCCCAGGATTCACGCCAACAACCACCGTATCACGAGAAGCAGAAAAACAGAGTCCAAAGCGTGATACATATGATGCCACACATCGTTCTGTTGATATATCCCCACTTTGATCCCGAATTTTCTGTGCAGTGATACCTTTGTTTGGACAAAAGAACCAGAATCCATGTTCCCGAAGTTGACTGTTTGAACATCCTAAAAACTCATAGTGACGATCGAGGATTCGAAATCCTTCTCGCAAAAACTGTTTCATGGCGTCTATTACTGAATCAAGGGCGGCTGGCTGAATAGCATTTACTCTTTCGTAATCTTCATCACGGAAAACAATTCTTATAAAATACTCCTCATCATATTGCCGAATAATACGATTTTGAAAAATGGGTTCTTTTGGATAAAACACGTGTTTTGTCGGTGTCAATACCATTCTCCTTATCGTTGAATAACCAGGTGGTAATTCTTCTATTTCGTCTTTAAGCGGTTTGTCTTTACTCATCTGAGTAGAAATCAAATGCGCAAGGTGAATGAAAGGCCACTCACTTGCAAACGCTGCCAAACGATGCAGTATCTCAGGAGTCAGCAATTGCAATGAACGCCTTAAAAGTAGCATATTCTTTTCATCTAGGTGGTCAGTCACTTTAAATCCATGGGACAAAAGGCACCTCCAAGCGTATTCCCTGTCAAAGTCGTCAAAGGAAAAATTCAAAGCTCGTGATGGACAAGACATTATTGTCACATTAGCATATACCACAACAAACCCAAGGCGTTTAAGTCTGGAGATCACTTGCCATCCTTTTGGGCATTTTGAGTCGTCATTTGTGGTGTCTAGTACATTTTCAGGCCACTCGATACAAAAGCTGCTTGATTTGCCAAACTCTTCATGCCTTGCTCCCTCAAAACTCACGATTCTAATTTCTTCTGTTCTTATACTTTTTATCAATTTTCTTTCAAAAAGCTTAGGATTTGATTTAACATTGATAAGTATTAGTGTAGAGTGGCTTTTTAAGTGCACAATAATTTTATCATACATGGCACTGTACGGAATCTCTATAACTGTGTACATAACTCCTGGAGGCACATTGCTCTGAATGGACATAAGCTGTTTATCATTTTCAAATACAACTTTGTTGCTTCCACTTTTTACCCAGTGTTTTGAAAACAGTACCGGCGATAGCATTGCTCCCCCGTAAAATGCGATATCTTCTATAATTGTGAGTGATGAGAATTTACAGTCGTAAGCTCGCATGTTGATATTTGTGATCTCTAGCCAACAGTTGATCTCATTTGACGGTCTCTTGGAGAACCACAGATTATATAAGAAGGATTCGAACTGCCTTATTTTCATGCCTTCCTTCGTATGAATTGTAGCATTGTATGATTGGGCAAACTCTCCATACAAATATTCTTGTCTTTCATCTACAAAGGAATAGACATACAATACACTATTTTAAATTATCGGTCGCACATATATTTTTTTAACCTGGATAAATAAAAAAAAAAAGCGTTGTTACTTAAAATCTACATATTCAACATGCGTGTATCTGGAGAGAGGAGGGACTGAACCTCGAACTAGAATTTCCTTCTATTTTTAAAGAGTTTTAAAATTTTACATGGAAAAGTTACTTTAAAATTATCTTGGACCCTCCTAAGTTGGTAAGGAAAGTCACATATATGAAAATGTGAAGATATAACGAAAAGAGATCGATCTAAAAAAAAAAATCTACAAAACTGTGAACAGGGCATAAAACATGGACCCTGGAAATATTATAAGTGGGATCAAGTGCCTAGGAGGATTAAGCATCCCTTGTCAAACAGTCACACCCGCCGTGAGCCCTGTGTATTGATCAGGTAGACGGAATACTCCGTTGTGAAATTTAGTGTAAACACAAAGGTCTGACAATTGGTATGAAACATGTCAACCAAAATATGATCCAGTGATAGGTTATATTTGCTACATGTAACAAGGTCATTATAACGTCCATAGAATTTACAAAATGCTGACTTTAAGCGAGATTGTTGAAATTCCTGTAACATGAACTATCTGTCAGTAGCCTAAAAGTTTTAAAAGTAGTTAAAAAATTGATCGTACTTAATGCATGTTCTTGAGTATCGAATTAGTTGGGAGACGTAAACATCATATGCAGGTGACAGCGGAATATTACTTCATAAATAAGGAAAGTTGACGATGGAAAAGCCGAAGTCATCTCGTTTGTCATACAATTTAGTTGTTAGTTGGCCCTTATCATCTATGTAAAGGAGAAAAGCAGAAAACTGTCCATTCTCTCACAGAATGGACAGTTTGAGGCCTTTCTCCTACTTAAACATGATTTCCTTTGTTCTGAAAATTAAGTAAAAAATGTACAAAATGACAGGTAGCACACATACAAGGACAAGTTCATTATTTACGGACTGGACAGTCACAGGTAAGCTGGGGATGCAGAGCAATTTGTTGAATAGCTATTGTGTTTCCAGATGCAAATAACAAAAGGTCTTTTTCTTAAGAATGGACAGTTAAGGTGAATTTTGTGGGATACTAGTATTTATACAAGTATGTGATGCTTCAAAATTAGTTTACAGTTTGCGTTGTAAAGGCATACATGTTTTTCTGTGATGGAGAGAGTATATGACAGAATCAAAATCTTATAAACCAAAATATGCACAAAATTAGTGATATATGGATGTGGAAACAGAAAAGTAAAAGAAATATTAGCCAAATTTTGACCCAAAAATGAACTTCGACGACAGATATATATGATCAAATTCAAATCAAATCTGGAAATGTTTTATTTGAATTCTATTTTTGAGGATATATTAACTGCAGCAGTGTATTGGCGAGATGCAAATTATGTTCCGAGTGTTGGATTAGCCATGAGCCAATCTTCGACCTGAAATGTTTTTCAAATGAAATTTGGAAATGTTTCATTTTTATTTATTTTCTACCGAAATATTAACTGCAGCAGTGTAGTGTTCATGGTGCAAACTGTTTTCTGGGTGGATGATTTAATATTAGACGTACTTCTGTCTGAAAATGAATTCTCCTCGAGGGAATGATTTTTCCGGAATTTAAATCAAATGTGAATTTGTGTCATTTGAATTCAAGTTTTGTGAAAATTAAGTTTTGGGTATTGAAATAATGTGCATCATTCATGGATTTAAAAGAGTAAAATCGAGTTGATGCTGTGCAGACATTGTGTTCTGGATTAACTTTGATCTCCGCGTTCTTTTTGTTATTTACATGTAAATTAAAAAGTATTTAATGTATTTGATTTTGTTTCCCTCTTGAACACATTCCAAAGTTAGCCTGTAACTCTCCATTCTGTTTGTTTTAACTGTCCATTCTTTTTGAAAAGAACTGTCCATTCTTAAAAGAATGGACAGTTTTCCAAAAAGAATGGGCACTTACAGGTAACTTATTGGATTGTTTGAGGAGTTAGCTCAACATTAAGCTATAGAATGGACAACACAAACAAAAGGTTTACGTCACAATCATGTTTTAAAGTCAGTTTAACATCCAAATATGAAACAGATTTGGCAGATTCTGTTGTGTCTTTTATTTCGAGTTCACTGGAATGTATCTAGTCGACATATGAATGGAATTAACTATACGAGGGTCGTAAAATCGTGGACAAGCTGTCTAGAGTGAAAAATAATCATCACTGCGTTTTAAAATGTTCACTACTCTTTAGAACATTTTTCATCAATGTGCATAGCAAAGTTCAAATAGATATATGCTCAAATAAACAAAATATGAGATTTTATGTTATATGTGGTATTGCCTTAAGGCGCACGGATGATAACGTCAAAGTGTTTAAAGCAGCGTTACGTATCCTCTTTGCTAACAAAAAAAAATTGGACAAGCCCGCTTAAATTCGGGAATTTCATTGATGCACATACATATGTACTTGAGTTTCTCTTTATTCCATCATAAACAGTCGAGAAACCAACCTCGCACACACATGAGACCTTCTGAAGATTTATTAGTAAGTTATGGACAGTACTCTCACTATCATTCAACTAAATAGGCTATCTTATATCGACGGTCCACGCTGGCTGACAGCATCTTTCGCTATTGCCGGTAGCTGTGTGTCCGTATGTTTTTTCTACCAGAGAACTCGATCAAAAAGCTTCCGCTTAGAAAACTCCCATTTCACTTGTAGTGATATTTTCTTCTATAGTCATTTAAAGTTTCTTAAGGCGTCATTACTACATCTAATTCAAACTACTGTCCGATGCGCCAACGTCATCAAACGCGCCATTTTTCGTGTGTTGTGTTCACCACTTTCCCATTTCAAATGCTCGGGAAACTGCCAAATATAAAGCAAATGCCTTGAAATTTTCCAAAATATGACATAATAGAAAGTGGATTAAAAATAGGATAATTTTTACCCAAACTTTATCTATTTAATACTTTTATTTCGAAATAATACTCGTGTTTTCTCTAATGAAACCCTGATCGTGCGCCGTAGGACCGTATCCTGTACACATTCAAGCATAATAAAATCTTTGTCTATATTTCATATTAAAAAATTAAGATGCACTTAAATATGATAAATTAATATTTGCTGAAAATTTCAGCTTAGTGCGCCCATTATTTTTCGATAAAAAAGCTTTGTCCACGATTTTACCGGACGACTCTCGTAATTGTTAAATTAATTGATAAAATATCGATATATCTGAATGTTGAGTTGTAGGCTCTGGCAAGTGTTTTCTGCTTCTCATGTAGAAGTTTTTGAATAAATTCTGCTCCATACGAATACAAAAAAAAGATCGGCTAATAAAGGTGCACAATCAGTTTCCTTCGAAATTCTAACAGTTTGTTGGAAGACTTGGTCTCCAAAGACTATATAAATGTTGTCAATGAGGAATTCCAGCATCCTTTTGATATCAACATAAATGTGTATTTTTAAGGTATAGTGAGTCTCTGTTCCATGTTTTTGTTGAGCAAAAAAAAGTACATTGTAACTATGTTTTATACATACTTTGAAGATATACTAGTACTTACAAAATGGAGTGAAGACCCACTTACATGGTAAAATTGTGTTGTAGTATGAAGAAATTTAATTTTTGCCCTCTTTGGTTTGTGCATGCCATTTTATAGATGAATAATTTTAATACATGTGAGATTATTGCAAACTGGCAATTTTTCAAAAAGTATACATAAATATTAACTGATATATCACAGGAACTTTTATTTTAACGGAGATTTAATTTTTCATGTTCTTTATCGTCGAATCATAGGCATTTCGCACGTCTTGTTCGCCCATCTTCTTTGTTCCGGGACAAAAGAGTGTGTAAGTCTTTAAACTGCCAAAGCCTATCGAGCAATTGTGATTCAGGAAAACGGAACTTCTTATTTAATAAGCTAATAAAGTTAGAAATATTTGTTGATAAACAATAAATAAAAGTTATCACAGTTCAGTTTTGCAGAAACGTACAATCAATGGTACATGAAGAAGAAATATTCTATGTGATTGCTACGGTAACCTTTTTTTTTTAAATTAAATATCTTTCATAAGGAGTGGCATTGTTTTAATTCTTTGACTATTGAACCTTAGAATTTTTGGTTTATTCTCACGTGTACGTGTACACGTAATTTTTTTTGGAGCAAAATAAGAAGTGTGTTATGAAGAGCCAAAACGGGGAGTTTCATATTTCTAAATATTTCACCTCTAAATACAAGTGGTACTGGTGAATATGGAGGTCCATTAATCGTCTATGTATAGCAAGGAAATCGTATGATAATGTTAAGCTATGAGCCGTGTACAAAATCGTGAAATGTGTGTCCATGCCCAATTTGATCCTACATGTATATTTGAATTTAAATGCACTATAAAAAATATTTCCTTTGATAATTTTGCTAAGGAAATCAATTCATTTACCTTATTAAGTAAAAGACAAGTTTTCAATATCTGGAGGAATGGTTAGGATATTAAGCAAATTCAAATACATAAAATAAATTAATTCACTACTGCAGCATACATGTAGATAATCATAATAAGTGAAATGTCACTTTATACTGTATCACACATGTAAGTCTAGCTGTAGAATTTAGATATAAAGCTATAGGTATATATATACCTATTCTCTTTTCATCCACTATATCTGTATATGTCGGAGCGTTTGTCCTCATCAGATCCTGGGCACAATCAGCGTTCTGTAGGTAGTAAATATTCACAGTATATTTATCTTTTATCCTTGGTCTATTCTTTTCGGGACGTTTTTGGATTTTATCCTCCGTTTTTGGATTGCTTGCCTTAGCCTGGTCATTATTATTCCCAAGTTTACCAGCGGCTTCACACTTGATACTTTCTCCGAGTTTATCGCTTTCCTCTAAGTCTGACGCTGTAGCCATTCTATTACTTGGACTTGGAAACTAAAAATATTTTGCTAAACATTGTAATAATATCTGAATGTCATTTTCTATATTTACGATCTACATCTAAATATATCGAAACCGAAAGTATGTTGTTTTATGGGGATATTGCTAATAAGCCGTTTGGCAAAAGGAACTGAACAGAACAGAAAGTATTGGTGATTAGACAAAACTTTAAATTGATCTATTTTTAAGTTTAAGAAATATAGTGAATTATAAACAACTTTCAACTTTTCAAAAGACAGTTTACTACGAAAGCCGGATAGGCTCATTTTTGAGAAGACAAAAAAATATTTAACTCGTAATAACGAGTTAGTATCTCGTAATAACGAGTTAGTATCTCGTTATAACGAGTAAGTATCTCGTTATAACGAATAAGTATTTCGTAATAACGAGTTAGTAATCTCGTTATAACGAGATACATGTAATTATCTCGTTATGACGAGTTAGTTATCTCGTTATAACGAGTTAGTTATCTCGTAAAAACGATTTAGTTATCGCGTTATAACGAGTTAGTATCTGTTATAACGAGATAACTAACTCGTTATAACGAGAAAACTAACTCGTTATAAAGAGATAACTATCACGTTATAACGAGTTAATTTTTTTTATCTTGTCGAAAATGAGCCTATCTGGCTTTTGTATTTAATATATTTTAATACATTAAGTTTAATATATTAAGTTTAATATTTTAAGATTTAAAAATAAGATTAAATAAGATTTAATATATTAAGTTTAATATATTTTGCGTCATTATTACATTTTGCGTTAAGCAAAACGACGCAAAATATATCAAACTGAGATTATTATATTTTGTGTTATTACATTTGCTGATCAACGCAGAATTTACACGTAATAACTCACGCTATGGATAATATATCAAAATTTAGATATCATTGAAAACTATTTTAAATACATTTCCTGATGTTTCAAAAATTTATTACTCTGTGGTATTTAAATAATATAAATACATGTATAGCAGCTGTATGCACTTTTTTGTGTTTCTAACATTCTGTTTCTAAATTTACACAAATTTTAGTAACGCCAATTGAAATAATTATTCGTATTATTAGATGCAAAAACTAAACCCTCAAAGTTCAAGGGGGGGGGGCTATTTCCCGAGGCACAAAAAGTTAATTGAAGAATTTACAATTAAATATTGCAGAAACCCTTTAAAATATAACCTGTAGATAAAATCAAATCCTATTCGATTTATATAAAAAGCAAGAGGCCCAAGGGCCTTGACGGTCACCTAGGTATAATTAATACAACACTGTAAAGGATCCATAGAAGTATTAAACAAAATTAACTGATAGAGGAAGCTATGTTGCCCGAGAATTTCAAAAATCTGGTGAAAAAACTCTCGCTTATTGTACATGTAACATGCAAGACCCGAGCGATCTCCTTTGGATCGTACTTGGTTTGCCCAAGTATTACAAGGATGATAATGAATGCAAAATATACAAATACAATGGACACTTGCCTAGTGTGTAATGTATTCAATATATTGTGAAATCACTACTTTTCATGGGGGTTTAATTTTCATGGTTTTCGAGGTATGAAGAGACTCACGAATTCTTGTCCACCACGGAATGTAAAATGCTATATACATTTAACTACTCAGCAATTCTTCATCCAGAACTCAAATCCCCACCAACCAATAGTTTTTCCTCTAACCACGAAAATTTGACCCCTTGAGGGGGAGTATTAAAACGAGCCATCAACTTCTCAATAGAGAATAAGGTTCCAGCTGACTGCATAAATTTTCTGTTCTCTAGTTTTAAAAGTACTTTTTAAAATAAAAATTAGAAATCATTTTATTTTATCTGTTGAAGCGTATTCAAATGTATAAATGGAACATGTATTTGGTGTGGTAGTTTAAGCTTCAGACATGTCCAAGATTTTTCAAACTGAAATTTGACACTTTAAAAAATGATAATTATAAAATCTTTTGAGAAAAAAATTCACAACAACAAAAATGAGACACAGACCTCCCACCTGCAAATGTATATATTATATACTGTGGAATCATTTAAATTCGTGGGGGTCAATGTTCGTGGGAAATCAAAATTTTATTGGTTCGTGGGGATGTAATTTCATGGGCAGCTCGTTTGTTTGGTAGATTTAATGAATTAATACGTTGACAAAATAATTGTTCATGGGGATGTAAATTCGTGGGTAATGGTTACCCACGAAATCCACGAACATTGATCCCCCATGAACAATGATGATTCCACAGTATAGGAACAAGCAAGTAATCAAAGACAAGAATAAATTAATAAATATTATAGTAAATAAATAGTAAAAAATAAATAAAAATAAAATTAAACAAAATTAAAAATGCATTCCTCCCCCCTTCTTGAGTTCATACCAGAATTCTGAATTCATTAAAGCTTTTCATGCAATATTTTACCAATATTAAAAACACTTTTCTTGAATGTATTATTCAATAGGAAAATTATACTATGTCACAAAAAAAACTTATTTTCTAGTTTGTGTATTGAAAATAATCCTGAAGACATTCGTAATTAATAAACTTTATTAACAAATAAATTCGAGTTGTTTCTTTTCCCTAAAGTCTAGTGAAAGGGGCCACAGAGAGATCCGCCCCTCCATTGTGCGTATTACGGGAATTCGTTAAACTGAGTTTTTTGTTTTACCAAAATGTAAACAAGTACGCCTCTGTTAGGGTTCAGGTCTATTTTATTGACACAGTGAGCAGTATATATTAACATAGCCCTGAAATATAATAAAACAACAATATTATATCACATCAAATCAATCCTATTTATGCATCATTTATACATACATCTAGCTCTCATAGATAACATATTTATAATCATACATTATAGACAAGATGTATCTTTATGTACATTGACTCTCAATTAAGGGAGATAACTCTGACATCTGATACATAGACATTACATATTTTCTCCCATAAAAAGGCATAAAAAATATTACTAATTAAAATAAATAGTTCCTCACCATTCTGTTGGAAAAGGCTTTAATTACCACATGAATGTATGATGTCATAAACATGTATATGGACTCTGTAATTCAATACAGTATACATTAAAATATATATTCCATTAAAATAAAAAAAAAATCATCTGTTCACTTTGAACAAAATAACCAAATATCTTGGTCATAAAATATATAGTGTAACTTGAACATAACAATTTACACTTTCAATATATAACATTACTGATCTTCAAAATCAATAATTCCAATCATAAAAATAAATATCTTTCTCTCATGGTCATTCATTCTATTAATATAAAGTGTAGATGGGATTTATTATAATTGCATTTTTACAGACTACACAAGTTAATTAACTATTAGCAATAAAGAAAAGTTAGTACTTACCAAAAAGTGAAAAAAGTCAGTCTCCAAGTCAAGGTCATGAGAGAGTCCATAAAATGAAGTCTTGGTAATCTCTCAACAAGACAAAGAATGAATATTTTGGCGGTAAAACCAATGACCAAAAGAATAAAACCAATGAACTCCAACTTTATAAACAAACTACCAATGAAAACCAAGAAAACACCAAAACCTCTTACCTGCCCTAAGGTAACTAATTATCTATATACAGGTGTACAAGTTTACAGGTAGGGCTAGGGAAATAAAGGGGTGGATCCAACATTTTATGTTTTTCTATTATGGTAGTTTAATTTATTTACATTTAATTTAAAAAATTTATTTATTAAATATATTCCACACTACTACAACCTCCCCCAGGCTGCAGAATGACGTCCACGTCATTCAACGGTGAAGTTTACGGCAAAAATAACAGATATGTACTAATATTAAAAACACATTACTGAGATGATGACACAATATTTAAAAGAGTCGTCTGGCACAAATTAGAGTCCACACTCTGTAATAACCCATCCTTCATCATCTCTTTTACAGAAATATAGTAAGGTTTATTAAAAGGTGAATAGAGTACGCATATGAAATATCATTAATTACAGGTTATTAAAAATATCTTAACAGTTTCCGCTGATTCAGTCAATGAATGACGTCACATGTCAGGTCTATGACGATCGAGTGCAAGTTAGTTGAAAACGAAAGTAACCAGGATGTGTACTATAAGGGTGTTTTTGATTATTAGAATTGATAAAACTTCATTAACGCAGGATTGGAATTAAAATTACGATTCTCCAGCATCTCGTTTATGCGGGAATTTGTCGCGAGATTTAAGATGGAAAAGACTATATATTTTGTTTCTATGTATATAACATTCTTTTTTTGTATTTTTAATCAATCAAATAACGTTAATTAATTATTTACAAGGATTTGTTGATTCATACAATTTAGCAAAGAGGAGTAACTCTCATTTGCTTCACTTATTACAATTTTGTAGTCTGTTTGCTTCCTAGATACCCATGAGCAGAAAAGAGACACATTCACTTATTTATGATTTTATGTTTACATTTATATTATTGCATTTAGTTTGTTTAATACTCAGGGGCAGAGGAGAAGATTTTTCAAAGCATTGATGCATTTTCACCATATAATCATTAGAGCCCCTTCCAAACACTTGAACCCCTGACCCTAGGGCCATAAAACTAACAATTTTGGAAGAGGCACCATTGCTCATCATAAGGATGCACTTAGTTCATCGGCGTAAAACCCAGGAACAGAGAAGATTTTCAAAGAATTGATGCATTATCACTATACATATAATCCTTATAAATGTAAATATAAAATTATAAAATTTATAATTTAGCTGCTATACATGTATTTATATCATTTTAATACCGCAGAGTAATGAATTTTCGAAACATCAGGAAATGTATATAAAATATTTTTCAATGATATCTAAATTTTGATATAATATCCATAGCGTGAGTTATTACATGTACATTCTGCGTTGATCAGCAAATGTAATAACACAAAATATAATAATCTCAGTTTAATATATTTTGCGTCGTTAATACACTTTGCTTAACTCAAAATGTAATAACGACGCAAAATATATTAAACTTAATATATTA